ATTCACGCTTTTATACTTCAAAAACTTCCTGAAGCATCATTTGGTGATCTTCATTTTCCAAACTCTTCCAAGCTATGCAGAGGGATTTTTTCACTCTGCAGATACAGGTGCAATAAAATGTCATTGGCTTAAAAAATAAAAATGAACCGGAGAAAAGAGTAGAATATACACACGTATAAATTTATTCTGGATTTTCACAGGCAGTAGAAAGGACTAGAAGTACCTGGCAAGAGGCTTTAGCTTTTCAGTGTATAATGTAAACTAAAGAATTGCGGCAGGTAGTCGTCTGTTTAATATAATTCATATAAAACAACGTTAACCCATCTAAAGTACACTATTCAGTGTTTTCTGGTGGATTGTGCAGCCACCACCAAAATCAATTTTAGAACATTTTCATTACCCCATAAAGAATCTGTCCCATGAGCAGTTGTTCCCCATTTCTGCCCCAAACCCTTCCCTACCCCACCGTGGCAGGCAACAATCTAGACTCTGTCCCTCTTGATTTACCTATTCTGGACATTTCCTAAAGTAAAATCATACGATTTATAGTTCCTACAAGACCTCTTTTCACTTTGAATATTTTCAAAGCTCATTTGTGTTATAATGCTTATCAACATTTCATTTGTAATTAATATTTTTAACAATAGTTTGCTTTATAGAAAAAAGTAAAAGTACAATGAGTTTCCAGACACTGCATCTCCACACAAGATTTCTCCTGTTATTGACATTTTTGCATCAGGGTAAAGCACATTAAAACTGATGAGCCAATAGTCATACTTTTTATTTACTAAAATCCATAATTTACATTGTTTTGTTCTTTGTTTTGAATATTCTGTGGCTTCTAACAAATGTTTAATGATATATCTGCCATTACAGTGTCATACAGAATACTTTGACTGCCCTAAAATAATTCCCTGTGTTACTCTTATTATCCCTCATTCCTTTTACCAAAATTCTGGTTAACTACTGAACTTTTGATTGTTTCCATAGTTTTTGCTTTTGTTTGAGCAAAGTACAAAAATATTTTGCTGAAAATATTTCACTGTATGGATTATATCACAGTTTTTGTCTTTTCATCTATTAATGATAGAAATTTGGATTTCTACTTTAGCTATTATGACTAATGCTGCTATGTGTATTTATGTCAAAGTATCAGCATGAAAACATGTTTTCATCTCCTTGGGCCTTTCCTAAGAGGGGATTAGCTGATCACAAGGGAACTCTGTGTCTAAATTTTGTTTTGTTTTTTTTTTTGGTACCAGGGATTGAACTCGAGTCCTTGTGCTTGCAAGGCAGGCCACCAAACCACTGAACTAAATCCCCAGCCCTCTGTGTCTAAATTTTGAGAGACTATATGCGCACCTATGTTTATATAAGCACAGTTTGTAATAGCTAAAACTTGGAAACATGCCATTTGCCCATCAGTTGGAAACTGAATAAAGATGTGTTTTTTCTATAAAATGGAATATTACTCAGCCATAAAGAATGAGAAATTAAATTCATTCATAGGAAAATGGATATATATTGAGGATATACTCCTAAGTGAAATAAATAAGTCACACGTGTGAATACCAAATAGTTTCTCTGGTGTGAAAAACTATAATAGTACTAAAGATCCTAATGGGATAACTAACATTGTGAAATAGGAAGAAAAGGTCTAATGGTGTAGGGGAAGTGGGAAGGGTAAGGGAAAGGAAATAAGGGAAAAGAAAAAAATGTGAGAAAATGAAAAGATGGAAATAAAGTGTTTGTAAATGGGGAGAGGAGGAGGGGGCGAAGGGAGGGCAGGGAAAAGGGGAAAAAATGAGAACCAAGACCTGTCATGTAAAGGTACCAGATCCCAATAATGAATGTAACTGTACTGTATACCTAAAATGTACCAATAAACTCAATTAGGAAAAAAAATTTAAAATTTTAAAAAAGTTTTTCAGAAACTATTTGACAAAGCAACTGTATCATTCCATGTTCCCATCAGCAATGTACTCACATGTCTTCTCCAACACTTGTTATTGTCTGTCTTTTTATTATAGGTACTCTATTGGGTATGAAGTGGCATCTCATTGTAATTTTGACTCATACATCTTCCTTGGATGAATTCCAGTTCAGATCTTTTGCCTAATTTTTATTTGGGTTATTTATTGTATGTAGTTGAAAGAATTCTTATACATTCTGAGCAAAAATAGTTATCAGAGACATCTGGTTTGAAATATTTGTTTCCCATACTGGGAAACATCCTTTTACTCCCTTGAGCTATTTTTGGAAGCACACACGATCTAATTTTGATGTTGTCCAGTTCATCCATTATTCTCTTACTGGGCATTAGGTAACATATCTAAGAGACCATCACATAATCAAAAGTCAAAAAGATTTACAATTGAATTTTCTCCTAAAAATTTAATAGTTTTAGCTCTTACATTTTGATCTTTGATATTGACGTAATTTTTATGTAACACTAAAAAATACAATTTTATTCTTTTACATATCTGCATTATTCTTTTTCAATAATTTTTATTCTTGATCTTTTGAACTTCCATGAGAACTTTAGGATCACTTGCTAAATGTCCAAATAAGCGAGGTGAGATTTTGGCAGGATTACTCTGATTCTGTAGATTAATTTGGGAAATACTGCACTCTTAACAATATTAAGCATTCTGCTCCATGAACAGGAGATGTCTTTCTGTTTCTTTAGGCCTTCTTTAATTTAATTTTAAAAAATAATTTGTAGTTTTTAGAGTATAAGTTTTGTACTTATTTTGTTAAATTTATTCTTAAGGATTTTAAAATTGTTTTTTCTTTCTTCACATAGTATGATATTCATTTTTTCTCCCTGTTTTTTCTGTCCCATGTACATCTCATACCTCCACTTTCACCATATCTTATTGGTGCATTATTGGCTTTGGCTTTGGGGCAGACTGCTTTTATGAATAAATACTATTTTTCATGTCTCTTGAAATCTGTGATCCCAAACAGTAATGCTTTCTAATAAGAAAGTACTCACACTAATTTGCAGAGGTTTGATATTTTTTCATTTACAAGTGAAGGGTCTTTTATTTAAAGTAATTAATCACTAACAAATTTAAGTTGCCAGTTAATTAATTTAAGATTTGGTCACGGTGCTTCTGAACATCCTCTTAACTATTCCTCTTTGTCCTGTGCACACTGTGAAATAAGTTGCTTACTAACGTGAGTGAAAGCTCTGAAACTTGTATTAGGATCTAAGCCAGAATCATTCGAGCACGTCATGCTCTCATTGAAAAGCTTTGGCTTTACAGAGATGAAACAACAACAGATGCGACTTCTAAACCCAAATACGTTTCCACTAACTTGACAGGAGAAGAAAGAGAGAAGCTACGAAGGAATCAGCACAGTACAGACCAGAAGGGCAGGAGACAGGTGGAAGAGTTTAAAATGCAGACAGTAAGGTACACCTAGGGCCGTGATGGTGACCCTTCTGGAGAACACGAGCCCAAACTGTAACCCCACACCTGCTGATTTGTCATACAGTAGCCACGCTGCAATTAAACCTGAATGCTCAGATTTTAGTGTAGAAAGAATAATTCGTACATTAACAGCTTTTTTGTCTTAAAAGAAAACAAAGTGTGTGCATAGGTTTGCCACCACTGACGTAGGGAGAAAGACTAAGGAAATTGTGGCTTTTTCACATAGAAAAGATTCTGAGATTATTGTATAGTTGTCTTCACCTATTAAGCGAAAGAAAGCGTGCGTCATCTGCACGGAGGAGGAAGGCAGCAATAAAAAGCATTTGAGAAAGTTATTAGAGAGGAAGATAAATGTTGACTTTAACACTGTTAGAAATTAGAAATAAATTATAGAAAAGTTCAAACTATTCTCTCCTGGGGACATGGATAACATGGTGAAGAGACACCAGCTGTCCTCACAGTGGCCTAGGTTGGGTGAGGAGGGTCGCGTGAGTGGGCTCCGGCAGCGTTGCCCGTTAGCGAGGTTCCAAACTCATGCACAAAATAGTCAGTGAGCCTTTAAATAGTGGGGTTTTTTCTTTTCTCTCTTTTAGTATAAGGGATTGAAATCAGGGCCTTTACACTGACCTACCTTCTAGCCCCTCTGTTTTATTTTATTTTAATTTACTTTGAGACAAGGTCTCACTAAGTTGCCCACCAGTGTGCACCACCATGCCCAGTTCAAATAGCAGTATTTTTAAATGATTCCAAATTCTGAGAAATGGGATGAATAAAGGAATTAAGGCAATTATGCATCCATGCCTACTACCCATAAGGATGCAAACATCATGTATTACAAACATGTACTAACAAAAAATAAAATGTACATTTGAATATGATTAAATGGGAAACTGATAAAAAAATTCTGCTATCATGTTATTATAGCTAACTTAAAATAGAGCAATTCCACTCCCCCCACAAAACTTTATGTTCACAGCATTTTATTTCTCTCATTCGGTAACCTGTTTACTTATGAAAGTATCCTCGTTAAGAAGTACACAACAATAAATTTTTCTTTAAAAATTTGTTAGGATCCCAAAAATATTTTGAAGGCAGCAATTCCTCATGAGTCTAGTATGCTCAGTTATAGTAGCCATGGGAAAAGGCCTCAGAAAGTATTAGATTTTGTCAATTCAGCTAATTTTAACTTGAGAATCACCAAGAAGGCCAAGGGCCTACTGTTTAACCATAGAACTTGGAGCAGAATGCAATCTTCGGGAGTCAGTATCAGAAAACTTCTGACTAAAGTATGATTTCATACCTTTTTTTTTACACAGAGAAGAAAAATAACCTGTATTATCAGAAGAACAGTTGGATACCTGGTTATTTCAACTGCATAATTATCCAAGGTAAAAATACACATGACACACAGTCCCTGACATGGCAGTATCCACAAACATGTAAGAGAATTCTTATTGGGCACGCCATACCTTTTCTGTGCTTGTATGACCCTCAGAATACAACTAAGTAAGCCAAATTTCCAAAAATTAAACCCTCTTACCTGAAGCATGCAGTTGGCTGATGAAAGACATTTTTTTCTCTTTAACTGGATTAGCTGAATGATCCTATCGCTCTCCATGTCAGTAATAAGAAATGCCATTTCTGTTTGGTTTTCATTGGCCTTTAAAAGAACAAATGATAATGCCTTTTATTTGCAGTTACAATGTCTGGTTCATTATAAATACTGAAGGTTAAAAGTGCAATATCTTTTAGGAAAATTCCAATTAAAAACTCCGGGGCTATTCAAAAAGTATATAGTAAGGCCTTCCATAATTTTCTTTGATCCCTAAAATAAAGTATTGCAGTTTCTTCTACTATCTGTTTTGCTCTCCTATAAAGTAATAATTATCTCCAGTTTATCAAACTGAAGTAAGTTGCCATAACAAACTTGGTTACCATAAACAAACTAAAAAAAACATGATCCAGTATTTTAGAGAGTAATATATACACAAATATTATAATGTTATAACATTTATATTATAATATATATACATGGTATATGTATATATTTTAATATGTAATAGATCTTTATAAAATATATATATTTATTTCTGGTCTTTGTTATTTTATTACTTCTTCTACCCCTTCCACTTTCCATCTTGTTCTATTAGTATAAACCTCTTTTCTGTTAGTGACAAACGTAGATCAACAATGTGTTTCTGCAAAGAAACAATGTATAAAGAAAGATATTTCTCACTGTGGACACCAGAAACACACAGTATTAAGCATACAGAGAGATCTCTTGCATAAATGTTCACGACATATAATGTCTGCTAAAAGCCAAGCAGTTGCATGTGTTTTAATTATAAGCACTTTTATTCCTAATATTATTGGGCTTATTACTTGCCTTCCTTATGCCTCAATCTTCTCCTCTAAATATAAAATTAATAATAGAGTTTATTTTATCTAATAATATATCTCCTTCTCCTTCCATTATTTTATTCAACAAATGAATATCTAGTGTCAAGTATGGTGATACTCTCAGAAAACAGAGGACAAATAAATAAGCTGAAAAATCCCCACCTTAATTTAGTTACAATCTATTAATTGGAGTAAAAGCAAAAAATAATAACTATAATATTCCATGTATAGTCAAGATATAAAGGCCATAATTATGTAAAATAAACATCCTAGAACCTACTAAATATCCTATAAATGTTTATTAACTAATTATATCAAGACACAAAACCATATTACTTTTGGAATGGAGACATGAAAAACTGCAATCTTCTCAACAGAAAACAGCCATAACTGGTGAAAATTATTTTATTTTAAGACAGTCATATAAAGTCTATAGAAATTTTCCTAAAGGCCAACAGCCAATGGAGAAATATTTATTTAATAAAACCTACAAAATCTTAATAATAATGTCTGACTATATGGTGCTTAAGTCATGACTGACTAGCAGTGATAAAAATATAGTAACTAATGAAAATTCACTAAGGAGAGCTCTATAGCACATCTGAAGAGGTTGAAGAAAGAAACGGAAAACTGAAGATACATCAACAGAGATTGTGGATTGAAGATAATATAGGTAAAGAATAAGAAAATCAGCAGAGCCTTGGCAAACTTGTAGCACATTATGTAAGCTTTTTGTTGCTCTGTCAAAATCCCTAAGAAGACAACTTAAAGGAGGAATGGTTCATTTGGCTCCTACTTTCAGAGTTTTCGGTCCATGGACATTTCCATTGCTGCAAGGCAGGACATTGTGGTGGCAGGGCATGATGAAACAAAGCTGCTCACCTCAGGGCAACCAGGAGCCAGAGAGAGTAAACCCAGTAACAAGGGGCCAGAGATGAGATACAGTACCGAAGGTTATGTCTCCAGGGCCTGTTTCCTTCAACTAGGTCCTGCCTCCTGTCCCATCATCTCCCAATAGTATCAGCAAAGGGTGACTCCATTAGTGGGCTAACCCACTAAAGAAACTCTAACTCTCATTAACCAATCACTTCCCAACAGCCCATCAGCTGGCAACCAAGCCCTCCCTACCATGAGACTTTCGGAGAACATTTTATTTCTCAGCTGTAATAAACATAATTCAGACACTGCATCAATTTGTGCATAATGGAACCCAGAGGAAAGAAAAAAGGAAAGAAGAAAACACTCAAAAGATGAAAGAAAAAACACTCAAAGAAGTAATGGCAGAAAATGCCTCAAATCTAATGAAAAACATTAGCCATATAATGAATAAGTTCAACAAATGCCAAGTACCATACTAAGGCAAAATCTGTTCAAAGACAAAAAAGAAAATACTGAAGCAACAATACAAAAAATAAAATGATCTGTCTCAATGAAAAAATTCCACTAAGATTGACAGCTGACTTTTTTCTAGTTCTAGGGAGGACAGGAGGCAGTAAGACGACACTTCCAAACTGCTGGAGAGAGAAAATGCCCTGTCAAACAAGAATTTGATATTCAACAAAGGTATACATCAAAAATGAAGCCAAAATATTTAGCCAGATAAACAAAAACTTCAGAACACAAGTTGGGGGAGATCTGCCTTATGTGAAATGTTAAAGGAAGTTCAAGTTGAAAGCAAGTGACAGTAATTCAAGTAGATGTGAATTAAAAAAAAAAATCAGTAAAGGGAATTATGCAATCAGCCTTGCTTTGGGCCAGTTCTTTTGACTTGCCTATTTTCTTTTTGAAATAAAAGTATTTACTCTGCCATTTTATTTTGGAATTATGTAACTGGTAGCTTTTGTTGTTGTTTGTTTCATTTTTATGTGTTTATAGTTAAAAGAGTTTGCTTGACTTTCAGAAAAGACTGTGAGCATGGAGTTCTGAATGACGCTGAGCAGGTGAGACTGGGGCTGGAGGATGAAGTCAACGCATTTTTCACTGGAAGACAAACATGAACCTTGAGAGACCAGGGACAGAATGCTATCATTTAAATCTGGTTCAAGTGTATCCTGCAGTTCCATGTGTTGAAAACTTGGTCCTCTGTGTGTCAATTCTGGATGAAGATGTTGATTCTTGAAGAGATGGTATCTACTGGGATGTCCTTAGATCGGTAAGAGCACATCTTCAAAGGCATAGTGGGTCCTAGCCTTGCAGTCCTCCTGTTCGGTGATGTGATCTTTCTTATTTGACCTCAGTGTGTACATGTTTCAGTCAACAATTGGTGGACTCCAAGGCAGGGATGACAAACAGGCCTGGCAGAGCAGAAACAACATGGCGCACACAAGGCAGCAAAGGGAACAAGAGGGAATTACCAGTCTCTCTGCCCCTTTTATCTTATTCAGACTGCTTAGGGTGGGCAGCACTCACACCTTAATCCTAGTACCCTTGAGCCTAGCATTGCACCATGAATCAATTCCAGTTTCACACAGTCTAGATCCAGCCCATGACCACATGAGGCTTTGGGGGATGGTTACACCCAAACCATAACATTCTGCCCCTGCCCCACAAAGACTCATGTACATTTCTTTACATAAAAGATATTTAGTCCATCTCTAAGAGTTGCTGAAGCCCTAAAAGTTTCAGAATCACTGAAAAGTCCAAGTCCAAAATCTCCTCTGAGATATAAGGCAAAATTAACTGCAAGACCCTGTACAAATGAAAAGAAAGTCAAACACCTCCAACATTCAATGACACAAGATAGACATTTTCATTCCAAAATGTACAAACAGGAGGATACAAAAGAATGGGACTAAAGTAAGTCCAAAATCCAGCAGGTCAAACATTACATTCCACAGTTCCACTTCTGAAATTTGAAGCAATCTGTGGCAAGTTGTGAACTCCAGAGGGGTTGGGTGTCTTAGCCCTTATGGCATTTCTGGTGCTCATAGTTCCCATGGCTTTTCTTTGGCCAGCTTTGCTCCCTCCTTGCAGTTTTCCTCAGATTATCCATGTTCCTGGCTTCTCCAAACTTCTGGGATCTCTGATGCACCTTTGGCTTCACACTTACAGCTTATATTGTCCTCTCAGGGGCACACTGCCAGGGCCTCCCAGGTCTTCTTCTGAAATCTCAGTGGAAGCCTCCCTGACCCCACAACTCTTGCAATCTACATGGGCCTAAAATCAGCACCGCGTGGATGATGCCAAGGTCTGCTGCCAGCTGGAGAAAGAGCAGCCAGCCTTCCCTCTCTCTTGGCTGTACGGGTCCAGTGCCTGGATTGCTGAGCACTCTGAATCCAATTCTGATAAACAACTTCCCTAGACTGCCATTTGGGAACAACTTCCTTAGGGAGATGCCAATCTGGAACATGGTGCTCTGTGGCTCCCTTCTCAAAGCAGTGTCCTTCACTTTTGCAGTTTTGAGGTTGCAAAGGGTGGAGTGCTGCTTCCTGTGATCCCTCAGGCCATCTTTTCTGTTCTCCTGATCCTTCTCAGCAAATGAGATCTGCTCTACTCAGTCTTTGCAGTTCACAGCTTTACTGGAGCTTCCTTTCTGGCCAACTCAAAACATTTTAAATCATTCTGCTGGGCTCTTTGCTCATGATTCTCAACATATTTCTGGCTAAAAGCCCCCAACAGTAACCCTGCCACTACCTCAATATTTGACCGCCTTGAAATTTCTTCTGCAAGATTAATTAGTCCACTGCCCCTAATCTCAGTCTCAGGTAAAGTCTCTGGACATGAACAAAACACAGACAGACTTTCTGCCAAGCCGTAACACACATCTTCTGAAGTCTAACAGTCCTTCTTCCTAGCAGAAACTTGCTGAGCCTGGTCTTTACCGGCCTTCTAACCTTCTGAGCTCTGACCAGAATCTCCCACACAGAACAGCCCGAGGCACTCCAGCCCTGCTTCTGTAGCCAGCATCTCTGGATCTTTCCTAACTCCTCCCCTGCCCACAAGCGAGTTCTAAAGGATTTGCGGCCACATGGCAAGGTGATGTCACAGCAACAAGCCCACTGCTCTGGTACCAAATGTATGTGTTAGTTACCTTTCTCTCTTGCTGAGATGAAACTACCAACACCCAAAGTTAGAAGAGAATGGGTTTATTTGGCTCACAGTCTATAGAGGTTTCAGTCCATAATGAGCTGACTCCAAGCGGGATGACAAACAGACCTGGCAGAGCAGACACAACATGGCGCACACAAGACAGGAAAGGAAACAAGAGAGGGTGACATGGTCTTTAATTAAACAAGGACGTAGAAAAAATTATGATGTAAA